TGTGTATTAACATGTGTATTAATTTTACGGAACTTACTCGTATTTCTATAAATTATTAATAACTAAAATAAATTAAAAATTAATATAATAACTTTGTGTAATTGTTTTTTTTTAATAATCACGTACTACTTACGACAATCCGTTGAGTAACTGTAAACAGATGAAGTAAAGATTGTTTACAAACGACAAGAGAATTATAGGTGAGATATCGTCGTCCACTTTTTTCACCATGAAACTAAGAGTAGCATAATCTTCGCGCAATCCAGACCAGTCTATTGGTCGGTGTTTTGATATAAAACTAATCACGTATTTATTCAATGTTTTGTATCTTTCAGCCAAACCGGTAGCTACCTGAAAACTCCGACCACAAGATCGAATTAGTTATAATAAGATTGGAAACGTTTGATTCTGAATAGAGAAAGAGGTATTGTTGAACTATTTGCAAAGTTTTATTACCATTGCGATGAAAACATCAGTAAAATTCCACGTAAAAGTCGCCAATTTGCTGACGATAAAAATGAAAATACCAAGCGCCAAGTTATATTTCACTGAAAATAAAAATTCTAAAGTTTTGAAGTAACCAAAGTTTTTCAATAAATATAGAAGAAAAGAAACACAGCGATCAAATAAACAAGTCTTTGGAGAAAAGGTTGTAAGTTTAATTACTTTACAGGTATAGCCAAATAAACTGGATTGCTGTTAATAATGCTAAAGAAAATAACTAAAAAAACGGAAAAATTGCAAATCTATGTGTATAAAAGAGTTAACTATTGTTAATTATAGCTATTTTATATTGTAATAAAACAATTATAGCTACTTTATTATAATAAAAAAACACTTTAATACTTTTTATGCGATCAATTAATTTATTCAATTAAATTATTCTGAAATTTTATTCAAGCATTCAATTTATCTGCGAGCTATACTTTTAAATTAATTATAGTTAAGAGATTGCTACTTACGTATCTCCAATATAAACGCGTGAGAGGACATACAATAAATTTCCAAAAAATTGAAAAACGTCGCATTGTCCGATTTGCCGCTCCAGTCATATTTTTTGACATGCACTAATATACTCAAGATATGTTCAATAAGAGCCACAGATAGAATGGAAGCAGCTATCAAATAGAGTTTCCAACGGAGTTTTGGTCGTTCTATCTTGTTACTGCAAAAGCGAAAGATTCTGATAAATGTATGTATTAACAGAATTTGTAAGGCAATGTAAAATTAATTAACTTTAGAGAGAAATATTGCTCATTGAAATTTCCAAAAAGAAATAATTGATTTAAAAAGATGATAACTTCGGCGAAGTTTTTAAATATTTATGCCGTTTGAGACAGATTACAAGCAATGATATCTTTTGATAATGGGTACTACAAATACGCGATTACTTTATCATATTTGCGTATCTGGCAGTATTAGATGAGTTTAAAGTTGGTCACATCAAATTATATATAATTAAATACATATACTTTCTAAATTCTTTAGAGTAAAATCTCATAATTTGACAATTAAACCAGTCTTGAAAAAGAATGATTCAATTTTCAATCTTTAAAAGTAAAATTTCACTCTTTAAAATGACTGAATTTACTTTAACAGTTTTAGAGAGTACGTAATTTTAATTTTTTACATATTTTTAGAGAGAGAGAGAGAGAGAGAGAGAGAGAGAGAGAGAGAACATATACAATTATAATAATATTGGAATATTATTTTCCGATTCGCAAATTAAGTTTATCATTACAGCATCTAACGAATTCGAATATGACGCTTGCTATTATTCTTGTAATATCTGCTGTCATCATGTGAAAGCACATGTGCGATCGCAATCTCTCGAGAGTTGTCAAGAGTATATGCGATTCTATGTAACCCTGCATACAGTGAAACACGTGGACTGCGATCATCGATCGGTTAGCGATACTATCCTTTCTTAAACACGTTGATATCTACCTGTCTATGAATAGCTCCATGGATCTCCAATCACGTTGGAGAGTTACCCATCGCGACGACAGCCAGAAAAATATGATCAGGCCCACCACGCAGTTTGCATAAAATATCGCGCCTGACGTAGCAGCTGCTATGCCTCCTAAAATCCAGTCGTATATTTAATAATATGTCTGACAGTTTCGAAAAATGATTCAGAGAACGTACGATTAAGAATGTACGTATTACAGCTCAAAGCATTATCAAAAATATAAAAATTTCATAGATTGTTAATACGTTTAAGTAACTGTGTGAAATTTAAGCACAATTCTCTTATTATTTTTGTTGTCTTTTGTTAAAAGTAATTTAATTTTTTTGTTTGCCTTATATATATAATTATTCTATAAAATCGTTTTGTAATACTTATTTGTAAATTTGATGAGAAAGTAGCACATAAATTTTTTATATGTACTAATAAAACTGTAATAAATATTTGTGCATAAGTTCATTGGGATCCATTTATACTGGCTTAAAAGTTATATATTTATCTAAAATTGCAGCAAAATATAGTAATTGCCCTGCATACAAACCGTAAAAGGCCAAAGTTTGTTGTTTTATGTTTTACAGTTGTTTTAGAGCGTATTTATGAAAATTTTTAAACCGATATTGATTGATATCGTACAACAAAAATATCCTCAACATGTCGATATTAAGGATTTTTGTTCTGCGCAATATCGTATAAAAATAAATGATCCTCCATTTGCATTTATTTCCCCAGGTTGCAAAACTTATTTAAAACACATTTACTCTGGGATAAAGTGCAAAAATAACAGATAATTTTTTAAGTCTTTCAATTTTTATCTGTATATTTAAAGAGTGTCTCAGAATTCCAATTAACTTTAGAGGAGTTGAACTTCCTTATCTTTGCTTGACTATGTAATAAAACTGTATACTTATTTGTTTACCTTGCACTTCAAAAGTTGCGGAGTTTAGTGTTTTTATCATGTGAATAATCGACAATATTGCCATGAATAACACCATCCCGCTTATGAAAGCGGAGTAGATGGTACGAACTGAAAATTTCACGAATTCTATCTGCAACGGACTCGGCATGAGTATTCCAGAAACCGGTAGAATTCCAAATAATTGAGCCATCACTAAAACCGGCCCTATTACACAGTGGAAGCTTTCTGGATCCTGCATAGTTTTTACTTCATATTACTTTACATTTTATACCACGAATCTTCAATACATCGATCAACATAAAAAAGTATTTTCTTTTTTAAGTGCCTTTAAAGAAAGAGATTTTATTACTCTTGCCGAAATTTCCTTTACATAGGGAGTTGTAAAAATATAGATATTGTTATCGAGAGCAAAGATTACAAGAAGATATTTACATTACTGCTTATGGACAAAGTTTGTTCATTCAGGAATGGGCGACTCCTTGGTGGACTTGGAGCCGGAGGTTGAGAGTCTGAAGAAAATTGGATTTCCGTTTCCTTCACCTTATCCTTCTTCTGACGCATCAGGTATGGCAGGATTTTTTTACCAGTTACGCTGTTTCTCTTCGAAATCTTAGAACCTGCACTAAATATTTGGTTCGTCTTCAACATCTTGCCGTAGATTTCCGAGTTGACGTTTACTGTACCACCCATTTTGTCACAGAGATCCTGATACGATTTAAATTGATTATTTTGTGATAAAAAAACACACATTAAAAATTAAAATTTTCCGAAACTTCTCTCTCTCTCTCTCTCTCTCTCTCTCTCTTTCTCTTTCTCAAGAGACATAAATTCATTATCGAATTTATACACATGTCATTTGCATTGACTGTTAAACGTTAATTTGCAACATCGCTTGAGATTGAATCAATTAAACGCCTAGAGGCATTTCATTATATACGTCGCTTTAGGAAACAGAGTGAAGGATGTAAAGGTAATTTCCAATATGCAACGCGGATAGTATATTAGTTTAAACAGTAATTTAAAATTTAAATATTACGTGCAATATATGTAATTACTTGTTTTGCCTCACTATAGTACACTTTTTTAAACGTGTTGCGATATGGAAATTAACAAGATGAGACGTGTATTAAAAACGATAAAGATTATTGCATTAACGTAAAATATGTGCATGTATCTTGGAAATTGCAATAAAGGAGAAATAGTTTGAAACATAAGAGTATCAGGGGGATTTGGAAATCCGACTCGAACTCTAAAATTTTTTATTAATTTTTTCAATTTTAATTATAAAAAATATAACTTTACTTTTGATTCTGAATAAATTTTTTATTACCACATTAAATATTTTTGCTTCTCATTAGGACCATGTAATTCATGGAATTTCCGTTACTTATAGCTTTGATAAAGTGTCCAATATATAAAAAAAAGATTTAGTAAAATTTTTGAGCTAAAGAACAGAATGTGCACTGAGTATATTAATAAGTACTCCATTCGACCAAATGAAGGCAACATCCTCGGTCAAGATTTTACTTACAGACAAAAACAATAATAATAATTTTACTTATGTAATAACAATATTAAAGAATTACATATTTTATATTTTTACTTCGTATTTTACATATATTTTTTTTAAGATAAAAAATAAAAGTTATATTTATAAAACTTAATATTTTTTCTGTTAAAAAAATAAGAAGGAAACGTTTTAAAATATTAAAAAAACAATTTATTATATTTATATATAACACAAAAAAATTGTTATTTATGTAATAACAGAACTGCTTTCCCTCCCAAAAAAATTCTGCATACATTCATAATTTGAAGGATCTAATGAAATACAAAACGTCGAATTTTTTTATTCTGACGCCAGATATCAATATTATATTACATTTTTATGCGTGTGTTAAAAAAGTGCATTGATGTTTGTTTAAATTGAGTGGATGCAATACCTCGAGCAATTAATTATCGTCGTGTCATATCATCGGATATAATGTACGAATGAACCATATCCCGTCACCTGAAAGGGTTGATCGTTTGCCTAGTGCGCCGTAAACCCGATATGTTGACGCAGATAGCCGATTCGCACGTCAAGTGCAACGTCATTTTACGTTCATTTATTCAAATAATTCTTGTCAAACATTATTAAGTAGCTATCATATGCAATTTTCGAATGGGATTTTATGTTAGCTATAAATCTCTGCTATTGAACGTAAATAATTGTAATTATAAAATAACATGTGCGTTTGTATTCGTTGCAAAAATTGCTGTGTGATAACAGAATTGATAAAATTCCTCTCTCCAAAAAAAATTTATACGTCCATATTTCGAAAGAGATCTAATAAAATTCAACACATCGAGTTTTCTTCTTTTCTTTGTGATGCCAGATATTAATATTATATAAACATTTTTATGTTCATCCTAGAGTTTAATTGAGACTAAAATAAAATTTAATAAAATATGTTAAAATAAAATAAAATAAATTGTAAAAAAAAATTATAATATACATATTCATAAATTATATAAAATTCAGAAATACATTTTGAGATTATGAAGATATTAAGATATTATATAATACAAAATATTTACTAAATTTGATTTTATTTATATCAAAGCTTATGAGCCGTAAACATGCTTTTATCTGAGAATTACTACTTCTCGAGAATTATACTTATTTAAGAAATGTAATATTCAATAAAGTAGACACGACAGTGTAGCTCTTCTCTTACTTTTTCTTTAAAAAAAAAGATATAAAAAAAAGATATATAATAAGATAATACAAAACTATAATAAATATATTATTATTTTATGTTTTTGTCTTTATGTTAGTCAGTGATGATGTATGCAGAGACCTTTCTACATTGTTATTTTATGAAATGCTTCATGAATGTTAAATGTCGTTCAGATATAGTTTATATAAACTCTTGTTTCTTTCATTGAAACTATTGTATTAATCGGTCTCAATGCAAGTTGATTCTTATCAATCGTTTATTATTTATAATCTCAATTCGATGTCGTAAATGATAATCATTTTTACAACGCAATTTCTTTTATATAGAGCTGCGTGACGTGTGTTTATAGCTATAGATATTAATATATAAATTTTGAAAAATCAGTTGCTTATTAATCTCAATTCGATGTTGTAAATGATGATTTTTTTACAGAGCAATTTCTTTTATATTGAGCTATTTAACGTGTGATTGTAATTACAGATCTATTAACATGTAACTTTGGAAATATCAAGATATATTTTAATTAGTCAATAAATATCAAATTATTTGTAATTATAATTTAATAATTTAATTTTTTAAACCTTATTTGCTACGTATACATACATACATGACTAAATTTAGGTCATCTGTGCTCATTAAAAAGCAAAATTTCCGATTGATATTTATTTAAGCTTTAAAAGGAAAATAAATTTATAATATAATAACATTTGAATAAAATAAAAATTATAAAGCATATTTCTTTAAAAATAAAAATTATAATATACATTTTTGTAAATTAGAATTATATAATATTTTTATTTAATTTCTCATAACATTTCAAATAAATTCTTCAGTTCTCTAAATTTGCAATACTAACAAAATACTTGAGAACTATTTATTTAGTTCTATTTTCGATTGCTAAATATACTTTGGAAAATATTTCGGGATGAAAATTAAAAAAAAAACAAGAAAATAATTTTATCTCTTTTTTTAATCTTTAATTATAATTATCTTTTTAATTTTTAGTTCTAATTATTTTATAATTTGAAGCTATCCGAAAACGAAACTTTTGCGCGTTAGGAATCAGGAAGAGGAATTGTAATGTACCTACATAAAATCTTGCTCTTCGTAATTCTTGTTACTATGCACGAATGCCATCCGGAGAAAGATGCAAATGTAGATATAAAACAGATGAGTTTTCGTGACGGTCGCATCTGAATCTGCCACTCGAATGTCTCTAATATGCACTAGCGAGCAAAGATTGATCTGAAGCAAGATTATATGCGGAATTGCGCGACGCATGTCCGATCAGATAGTCGTCTATACCACTTATGCGGAGTTTAAGTGACGCTTTGCTGAGAATAAAATGCACGTGTACGATACCGATCGTATTGATTGTTTGCTTTCCTTTTTTTGCGACTTAAATCACAAGCTACTATTTATTTTAATTATTTATCTTCGCATGAATTAACTACACCATGCAAATTAAATTTAAAAATGAATTATTAATTAATGTGTGATTTTGTTATCAAAATATATTATAAAATTATATTATAAATAAAATTATAAATATTATAAAATTGAAATATATTTAAATTTCGACTCTTTATTTCAAAAAATTTTTTAAATTCTTTTAAATAACCGAAGTGAAGCTGATTAAATATAAATTGAATAAATGAATATATTTATTGTTATCTTTATTATGTTTATTATTGTATAAAATGTTATGTCCTTTGTCAGGAATTTGATGATGATACTCTCATTACAGTCAAAATGTTTGTGTAAAGTAGAATTATGTGTGAATTTTAATAGGATAATTTAATTAGTGGCTTCATAATAAGATTGTCATATTCTTCGTGTCAATGTACCTCGCGTTACAATTGCTATTTTTAATTTGCCTAATCTGCAGCATTTTACAATCTTTTGATAAGTATAATATGTATTTGTATTGTATTAGTATATATATTTGCGTTTCGCGATGAGAGCCGAGATAAGGAGTCATGCAAAAGCGAGTTAGAAGTTTTAGTCTGAATAAAATATTCACAGATGCAACTTGTCCCAACAAACAGTTATAAGAAATATACTAATAAATGAGGAGTAACGAAGAAAAACAGAGCGAGAACTATTTACACGTGGCATGTCCGCGAATCGATTTCTTCACGAAAAAACATACTTATAATGATCAATATAATGCCGAATGATTGAGACGCCATATGCATCATTCAATGAATAAAAAAGCATGTTCGTGATATTCTCAGTTCGTATAAATGTCAATTTTCATGCAAACCGTACGATCAACAGTTTAATCAACAAAACTTTTCGTATTATTTAATATGTGCTTGACAATTAGTGCATTAAGTTTTTTTTAGCTAATTAATTCGTCGCCTGATCAAATTAATTCAGATGTATAATATCATAAAACATTGTAAGCGTCAAAATTGTGAAAATGCGTTTTATTGTATGAAAGGATTGTAAGTGTTCTATCACATAAATATTCCTTTATATATTAATATTTGACGTAGAAAATTGCAACAAGCGGAGAAAAATAAATAATGTAACTTAAAATGTTATACTATTGTGCAATTGACATTTTTACTTGAACTTTTATTTTTATTTGGGCTCATAATTTGTAGTTTCAACAACTTGTAACGCTTTTTAAAAATTAAAATTATTTAATTAAAAATTCCTACAGAAACTGATTGTTGGTACTTTTAGATGATAGAATTGCATAAGATAAAATATCTAATGCATTGTTCTTAATTTTTTTGGAATACATACACAATTTATTATCTTTTATTTCAGTGTCAAAAATGAAATAACAAATAACTAAGATTTTTTCGACTCTATACACATAATAATATATCAAGTAAAAAAAAATTCTCGACATCATACATCTTACCAATCTATACAAATGTACAAGACAGTATAAGATAAATGAATTTGATGTATATTGTATATATGTAGAAAAAATTTCATGACCTCACTAACTTAACAACATAACTTGATAGAAATGGAGCAGAAACTTCAATATTAATGAAATCAAGGGAAACACATGATTTATTTTGTAATTTAAATTCTATTCATATCCATTCGTAATTTATTAAATTCTATTCATACATCCATTTGTGTGTATCATTTATTCTTCATTAGTATTCATTTATACACAATATACAAGTGATATATAGCCCAAGGTGTATTGTTCTACCATATGGCACGTTGCACTCCAGCCATTTTATTATAATCGACTAAATGACGAAAGATGAATCGTGATATTCTCCATCGTTGTATCGTACCTCGGCCTCGAGATGTCACAACACATCTCGGTGTCAATTGTCTCAAAGCGGTCTGTCTAGGAATTGTTTCAACTATTTGTTTGCCAACGAGTTCCTAAAAGAATTATGTGGTTTAAGTTGCCTCACATATTACTACATTATTATAAGATAGCATTGCTCTCTTATTTGAAAAATGATACAATTAAAAAAATGTAGTTTTCGAAGTTTTCTACATGAAAAAGATAATATGCTTTATTCAAATAACAGAGAATTATATAAATAGATAAGTTGTATATAAAAATGTATTGACGACAAGCAATATGGTACAAGAAAATGTTTACGTCACCAATTTTATATTCCCTGAATGTGTAATTAGAACAAGATTTATTATTTTACAAGTGAAATCTTCTTACTTTTATCTCGATTGGCAAAATATCATTGCGTTTCATGGCAACCAATCGCAATCTTTCCTCTGCATACTCTTTAGCCCATCTTCTACGTTTTTTATCGCGCAATACCCTGCAGCCGACATAATTTCGTACTTCTTTCAGCTACACAGAGAAAGCACGACATAATTAAGACATAAAAATGACTTATGTTAATTGATTTCAAATACAATAACCTGACTTCATCAGTTGTTTATCTTAATAAATGTAGTGAGATAAATCTACAATCAATTTATGTAGATATATAGTTAAAGATTATAAAAAATCTATTGTTCAAACATATTTACTCCGTATCCCAATAAATTTGTAGCGTACAACAGAGGGCTGCGATTGAAAAGCGGAAGAATACACATCATCGTCGCCATGTCTATTTGTTGCTGTTTATTTCTTTAATCTCTATCGCATGACGAGTAAAATCCCTAGAAATAAAGGTGCCTTCTCACGTTGATTTATAGGTCTCTGATCAATCAAAGCAAAGTTCACTAAACTTGAGATTGGTTTTCATGATTGGTTAAATTTCATTTCAATCTATAATTTGGTACAGACTTTATACGAGCTATGTGAATGCGCCCTTAAGCTCGTTCTACAATTGTATACGTGGTTACGGTTGTAAGAATTAACCAATCACAGTCGAATATTCTCCTCATATTCAGCAGATTGATGAATTTTCACGATTACAACCACACTCATGCAATTAGAACAGATTTTAGAAACACACACAAATAAGCACACATAAAGAGTAACTTTTATTTTCATGGAATACGTGGAACGTCTCGAACATCTTTAACAACGTGAATAATTGTCCTTATCCGCGCTTATTAATAAAACCCTTTATCTGTATCTTTGAAACAGGTCAGTCTGAAAGACTGATTACTCGCGGATATTATGAGGACAATATATCTTTTAGCCATTATTTCCGTTTTCGGTAAGTGTTAAATTTAGTTTCAGATAAACTTCTCAAAACTGGAGCTTGCTCCGCTTCTTATCAGTATGTTACTCTTGTTCTTTGTCCAAAATTAAACATATCTCTCCGCCACATTATCGTTCCTGATATTTGAAAATTGTTTACAGTAATACTCCATGAAGTCGAAAGCGGATTATACGGTTCCAGGCAGAATATCAAGCATTACAAGATGAATGAGAAATTGGGAGCAGATTTAGCAGCGTCCAAGAATCAATCACAACCGCTTCCAGGTCGGAAAATTCATGTATCAGCTTGGGGTATCATCGGATTAATTGTAGGCGCTATCGTATTCACTATGATAACTTACTACATCTTTCTATTGTATCCATATATATGCAAAAAGGATACAAGCTATGACGTCATAGAATTAGCAGATGTTGACTCTATGTCCAGTGTTCGTGTTAATATTAATAATGTACCACGTGTTCCATTGAGAGCATTTTGCGACTCAAATGATATATCAAATAACATATCAAATAATGCACCATTAGATATATAGACCTGAAACGAAAACGTAACTTAGATCAGTATTCATTAGTTGATTCTTATACTTAAGATTGTCTTAAGTATAGTCTTAAGATGTCATGGACTAATCAGAAAGCCATATTAAAGTCTCAAGATATTACTTAAGACAGTCTTGAAATAAGAATGGATTATGAATATCGGCCACAAACATTTATTTTACAAGTATAGTTACATCTTCACTCAAAGTAATAGTATTTTTGTACGAGTTTACAGCAATTAAGACTTATATAACTTAACATTGCCATAAAATCTTTTAGAGTAGAAAAATATTAAGATTAAGATCATTGTGTTTTCATACTATCTTATATATGGGTAATTCTTTTACAAATCGAACACCTGTCTGATCGACACCTCTTCGATTTGACTGAAACTTTTTTACGGATTCTATGTCGAAAAAAAAGAGATACGTGTCCGAGGAATTTTTTTTTATTTGCATATTTTCGATAATACAAGTGATCGAACATTTGAGAATGGCAAGTTTTTTGGCTTGGAGACTCATTTTCATAAATCCATAGGTCCGAATCTTTAAGAGCTACAAAATTTTCACCAATTGCACTTTTGTAGCTGAAGGACTGAACTGTAAGAAAAAAATTTTTTTTACAAAAAATACTAACAAATTTATATTGTTATTAACAATTTAATTGTTTAAATCGATTTTTAACAAACGCCCCCAAAACGAATCAAGTTTTTAGTATTTTTATCGCATTCTCCGTCAAATTTTACGTCAAAAACATGTTTTCAAAATATGGTACCTTTTCAATTATTATTGTTAAAATATTAATTTATATAGCGCGTAACGGCCAAAAAAACGGTTTTTTGCTAATAAAACGAAATCTGTAACTCGTATCAAAAAAAGTTAAATGTAAAAGTTGTAGATCTGTCAATTATCTACAACTTTTACATTTAACTTTTTTTGATACGAGTTACAGATTTCGTTTTATTAGCAAAAAACCGTTTTTTTGGCCGTTACGCGCTATATAAATTAATATTTTAACAATAATAATTGAAAAGGTACCATATTTTGAAAACATGTTTTTGACGTAAAATTTGACGGAGAATGCGATAAAAATACTAAAAACTTGATTCGTTTTGGGGGCGTTTGTTAAAAATCGATTTAAACAATTAAATTGTTAATAACAATATAAATTTGTTAGTATTTTTTGTAAAAAAAATTTTTTTCTTACAGTTCAGTCCTTCAGCTACAAAAGTGCAATTGGTGAAAATTTTGTAGCTCTTAAAGATTCGGACCTATGGATTTATGAAAATGAGTCTCCAAGCCAAAAAACTTGCCATTCTCAAATGTTCGATCACTTGTATTATCGAAAATATGCAAATAAAAAAAAATTCCTCGGACACGTATCTCTTTTTTTTCGACATAGAATCCGTAAAAAAAGTTTCAGTCAAATCGAAGAGGTGCCGATTAATTTTCATCAAAATCCGTTCGGTTTGTAAAAGAATTACCCATATATAATAATTAAATGAATTTTTATAAATTTTATAAGCATTTACAGCAATAGATATGGAAATAATTTTATTTTTATTGCATTTATGTATCAGTTATATGAAAAAAGACTGAACTTATAAATTAAAAGTATCTTGTGACATATTAAAAATAGAGATTAAGTGTTTAAAAATTTCTAACTAAAAATTAAAAAATTTTTTTAAATATAATCGTTTATATAAGTAGATTAAATAGTATACAACATATGGCATTTTGCTTGTGATTGAGATTTTGAAAGACTGCAAGAAAGTATATTCGTTTTTTTATTAGACGATATTAATGTAACATAGTGTACCTATTCAGTAATGAGATTGATTTTTTTCTCATATTAGCAACTCTGCAGTCTATTACTAGTGGCTTTAACATGTTTGATCTTAATCTTTTTCCAACTGTAACTGGCATGTCCAGTATAACAACTTGAAATGTTAAGACATAAATTATGTTGTTCTTAATCAAATTTGAATCGTATAGTGATATGCCATTTTTTTGTGTGAAACTTAGTTAATTATGCAATAATGCTATGGAAACGTACGAAAAGTTTAACTACTTTTTTTTTATCGTCCTTTTTTCATATGAAATTCGGCAATGCTACAACATATGGAAAGCTTCGGTAAGATTTTCTTTGATGTAGTATTTACAGAGTTTCATTCACATAACAAAAGACGGCATATCATTATGCGATTCCATTTTTGTTACAAGCAACTTGAACGTCTTAAAAATGGTTTTAAGCTGTTACTCCAGGCTGAAACACCGCAGAGTGCTAATTGAAATTAGAGTAGGCAAAGAATTAGGGTCAAACATGATCAGTGGTAATAGGCTGTAGAATTGCTAACATAAGAAAAAAGAATCAGTCTCTACTTAATACACGCTATGTTTATATTAATAGATCACAACACAACAGACTGATTTTTATAATCTCCAAATTTGATCGTTATAGAGAAAAAGCAATTAATAGCTTTGCTGAAAAGTTTTTTCTTGTGCTATCAATATATATAAAGCTTATACAAATTGTACTCATAAAATGACCTCTGTAGAAATAATATACTTGTAAATGTATGATATATATTTATTACAAATAGGACTTTTTTTTTACATAAACTATGTGTATCTTAAACAACCTACTTTTACAAAAGTAAGCAGGCTAATAAATGCATCATACACCGAGCGAATATTTCAAACTGTTCTACCTTTTTCCTATCAAAACACATGGAGAACGATGCAAACAATATGAATTATATGCGCACGTTTTATGACGAGGATCTACTAGTTCGCTTCTCCTAAATGCAACACAAAAAACAGTATAAAATTGGCTTTCGGATGGAAGAATTACTTAAACGCGTTTTTTTTTTTTTTTATAAAACTAGACAACTGCACCTGAGAACTGGTCTTCCTTAGGATACACAGAGCGACAAATGATGATATTATATATATATACTGATGTTATTATACAAAAACCATTGATTAATGGAATTATTCAATTACCATTAATTTCATTACGAAATTAATTGATGTAGATTCTTATTAAGTATATATATATATATATGTATAGATGTTAAGTTTGACAATACAAAATAAATTTTTGGGCGAGTGTACCGATTCGCGATTAACGCCCTTAATTAGTTTTTTTTTTAATTAGAAACGATATACGTCGTGTGCGGTAAATCCTTCTAAGAAGAATTCAGCTGGCTAGCGTTCAAATAAGTTATAGCTCATCTTTATCATCTAAATTAATATCGCTGAGATCAATCTCCTCTTCCTGTGGAGGTTCAGCATCCTTACCGTCCCAGGGCGTTGTTTCAATAATGACAGGCAATTGAGCACCCTTCAAAGGCGCAGTGCCACCTCTGCCGTAACTTAGATCTCGTAGGAACTCATTTATTCCATCGTATGAGAAACTACCTTTTAACAAGGAATATTTCATTTTCTTGATATTAACGGCTGCTAACGCGGGATAGCCGAAACCTCCAATTTCTAACGCATCCTCGATGTGCGATTGAGCACCAGCTTCAGCCCAGACCCATCTGGATAAAAAGCAAAATAATTAAAATAAATTAAAATAATACTATTTGTGACTCTAAGAATAAATCTAGTATAAGTAAAATGTCCATGTGAGCTTCCATGGTTATTAGTACGAAAATTATATAATGTAAGGCGATAAGATATTATTCGCAAACCAGTTGTACCTCACCAATTACAGAATTTTGAAGGACTCAAATCCAGAATAGAAATGTTTGTAATTATCTTTATTTGGTAAGTACTAATTGTTTGCGAATTATATCTCTTATCGCTTTATGAATATATAACTTACAAACTAATAACTGTGGAGACTTACATGTACACTTGTACTAAAAGTAGAACATTTTGTGAAAATAGTTAACATATTAGACGAATTCATACGAAAAAACTTGATAACTTTATAACTTCTTAGAAAAATTAAATTATAAAAGATCTTTTTATCAATATACTATTGTTTGACCGACATACTTTCTTATCTAGTTATAATTTACCGTAAAATAAATTTTGCAATAAAAATCGAAAAATAAAAAAATATCGATTGGTTTCAGAATCATGTCTAAAGCATGAAAAAAGGAACTGTTATGAATCGTTTTAAAAGTAACATATATGCAAATTTAATGCGTACCCCCACATCTTCTTTTTGTATTTTTCACCGAGAGTACTTAAAGTTTTCAAGTATCCATTTCTACAATCGGACTGACAGTCTAAAATGTGTGGCAGAACGGAAACCACACAGATCGGCTTGTCTTCGCATGCTGCTCTCAACTTCTTCTCGGAAGTGATTTGCACTACTTCTGGCGCCGGGATATTTTCGGCTAATTTCTCGAGCGCCCAGTTAACGATATCACCGCTTGTGCGACCGCCATCATAGTCTTGCATCGAGTCGGCATCCTTCTTGCCCGGTGCGAAGAATTTAATGGTGGGATAGCCTTTGATCTCGTATTTACTCGCCTGTAATATTACGTGTGTTAGACCAAGTGTACTACATCAATCGCATTACAAGAAAATATTTAGTAAGGTATGTATCTCACTTTCAACGTGTTTACAGTGGCATCCAGAGCTCCCAGTTTGACTTTGCCTTTTAGCTCGGTAGCTGCTGTCGACCACTCGGGCGCTAGATTCTTGCAATGACCGCACCAAGGAGCATAGAATTCGACTAACCACATATCTTCAGAATTTAAAACAGTCTTGTCGAAGTTCTCGTCCGTCAATTCTATAACATCCTTGGAATCTTTGCTCTGCAAATAAATATATATTTAGTAATTTGTATGCCAGGAAATTATCTTTTCTATTTGTATATAAAATCATATACTCTATTCAATACTCTTCGTAAAAATCTAGAGCTAGTCATATTCGAATTGTAATTTACCTTGGATTCACCTCCCGAAGTTTTACCACCTAATACTTTTCGAACTTTTTGACTGGCAGCATTTAACGCAGCATCGACAATGCCAGCTGCACTTCTCGGACCATTGTAGTCTTCCGGCTTTTTATCAAGTCCGAATATCTTGATTGTTGGGAAACCACGAACACCGTATTTACTTCCCAGAGATTTGTGTTCGTCAGCATTTACCGCGCCAACTTTTACAACACCCTGTTAGGATAAGTTAAATATATATGTAACAAATGAGCAAAAAAAGCCATATCTGGTCAAAAAAAGATTTTGGTGCTTATTATTTTGTGTAAATTTTATTATTTTTAGCTCAAATAAAACTGTAAAATTCATACAAAATATTATTAGGCACCAAGATCTGCTTTGGATGTCGCCTTCTTTGTTCATTTGTACTGAACATTTCCTGGTTGATTTACTTAATATTAAGATATATGTACAAATGTTCACATGTATACATTGTATATATATTTATACAGAAAAATTAAATATGATGAATCACCTTTAATGCAGTAGCTGCTTTGTCATACTCCGGCGTCAACTGTTGACAGTGTCCACACCATGGCGCATAGAATTCAACCACCCAGATGTGATCACTATTTAATACTAAATTATCAAAATTATTTGGCCTAAGATCAACGACGGCTGAATTGGACGCGTACATGCAGTTCGCTCCAGCGACTAGCAGAAGAATACCTGCAAGGAGAAACGTATGCAAACAAGATGTATGGTCCATAGGAGGACGCATGTTCAAATTTACGTATTTAAACGCTATTTAAGTTACGCAGACAGGCTACGTGGGAGCATAGGAGAATGGTGACGTTTCTCTCGCGGAATAGATTTCGAGAAGACACTTGTTGCGATGCCGTTCACATAGAACTCTAGCGATATCACCGGAATTCGTGCCAATGTCAAGAGCCACCAACGTCGGCCGGCGTCCTGCGCTGATAATTTGGCGAAATATACACACGTGACTTACCTAAGAGCCTCGACATTATTCCGTGGATTGTACAAGCGACTCGAGACATTGCACCAGAAGTCATTCACATCCGCCGAAAGTCACAGCGAGGTGAACGAGCGCTCTACACCACCTCCGCACAATGCTCCGACCACTCTGACGTTCGCCCAGATGCGCTGGCGGCATCCCGATCGCTGACAAGCGATCTTTTCGTGGACTATTCCGATTGGCTCGCCGCCGTACTTACAAATCTTCGATGTATCGCGATGTATCGCAAATCGCGAACAAAACGCGCGTGCAGATTTGAATTGCTCGTCGCATTTCCCTTTCTTTACTATTTTTGATATCCGATCGAAAATTTTCTTCGCGTAACTCTCACGCGAAAAAATTTGAGAAATTCTTTAGAAAGTTATAAAATTAATCAGTTCTAAAAAATTCTAAAATTTACATTAAAAAATTCTAAGAAAAATTTTTACCAGAAAATGTAGGTTATAATCCAGAACACAAAAAATGTCATCAAAGATACTTTATAAGTGTATTTGTATTGTATTTTCGTAATGTTTTAATAATGAAAAGAGATAAGGAAATTATTCAGATTATTCGTTTGTTGAAAGATTTGATAATTATAGTACGTATATTAAAAAAAAGATTGTCACAAATCTTGAAAATTAAAGATATATTTATCACGAAATTGAAAATTGAAAATTGTATTAGAGAATGTAGTATATTTAGATTTTTACTACTTGAGAAAATAGATAAAAATATAATTTAAGAAAAGTTAAGTGTTACAAGTCTTGAAAGTTATATTAAAAAATGTTATACATTTATAGACTACTTTACTACAAACTCCATAATAAATAAAAGAAAATATTTAATTTTAATTTAATTTAAAAAAAAAACGACATTATATATGTTATTATGTAATAGTCACAATTTGTATAGTAAATGATTTGCAAAAAGTAATAATTCGAATATTACATATATGATAAATATTTTTGTTAAATAACGTAGATTTTGTTAAATAAATAGAAATAAAAAAATTAATATCTAAGATATTAAATCGTAATTTCTCTAATTTATAATACTGTAGAATATAATATCATTAGTAAATAAAATAATTGGTGATGTTTTTAATGTTTTGAGAATTAAGTGATCGACTGAAATTTAAAATAGAATCGTACAATTTGTTGTCTCATGTGTTATGAAAAAAATTACGATTTTTGGTCACTTTCATATTCGTGCTATATATAATATATTTCCTTCATATACATTATATCGGCGCATCTTTTTACATCTTTATTTGCGTATAATCTTTGCGGTTATAAAAATGCATTTAATTACGAAATGAGTATAAAAATTTATTTGATAAAAAATTTGATCGATAGTTATTCAAAGCTCCAGCTTAGGCGATAACAACATCACGAATAAAAAGCGATAGTCATCAGCGGCATACCTATTTGACTTTAAATATTAATGATTATTGCTGTCATATTCGATCACTTTGAATTTGTCGACCAATTACGACATGCCATTAGTTCACATATAAATAATCTTTTTTATTATTAATATTATTTTCGTTTGCTTCACTCGTTTTAATAAACGTCATAGCATTGCAAATCATGTAATTACGTTCCAATCGATGAATCTATTTCTATGCTGTTCTTAATAAAATTTGAAATAATGTAAAAACAAGTTCTTCAAACTTTCTATCGAATCTTTTATTTACGTTTCAACATTATAGTGAAGCAGACGAAAATTTCGAAATGGAGTAAGATCGCGATTCGCGTACGAGACGGGAGGGAGTGTTACACTTGTAAATCGGCGGAAAAGAATCGAGGGGAAGAGAGTCGCTTAAAAAAAGTAAACGCTATTTAGGAGTATAAGATTTTTCTTCGTGGAGAGGCTGAGAAAAGCCTGAGTGTTCGCCACGACTTCCTATTTAGCGTCTCGCCCTCGACACTTGCGTTTGCTTCTTGTCATGCATACGCTTGCAAATCGGAATGTGCCGCTCCGCGGCGGACTGATTGAACTTCCTGCCACAGTGCTCGCACTGGATGTAATCACTGGTATCGCTGGGCGGTGGTGGCGGCAGATCGCTCAAATTTTTACCTGACGCCAATCGTACCTGCATCTCCCTTGCGTAGCGGATTGCGCTGATAAATTCCTCGTGCTTGCGCCGCCAGTCCGGTTTGATTTCCGGCTTCTTCGTTTTCGTCTAAAACAGAATAAAAAAGCGTATGCTAAATGCTGTTATCCTCCTCGAAGAAACCAAGCCTGGATCGAATCGAGTCTCGACCTTCGCAAAATAAATTGGATAAATAATTCATTGGACTAATTTATTTTATGTTATATTAAAATTTGATATATTACTGATATTATATCGAAAAATTATAACTTTCATCGGTTCTTTTCGAAGAAATTTTATCTCTTGATACCAACCTCTCGTTTAGCGAAGCCTTTCTTAACGAAAGGTTCGAGTTCGGTTCCTTTAACTCGGCTCATCACCGGATCGAACTGCTTCCTCTTCTTGGCTGTCGTTTTCATGCAGATCTCTTCGTGAAGATCGATTCGATTCTGTGCGAAGCTACGTCCGCATGTTCTACACTTTACCAAGCCCTTCCTGTCATCAATTAATAACGCGAATAATTTTAATAATTAATCTTTGTCTGCATTATTTAATATTAAGAAATGATACAAAAGTTTTTAAGTTCTTATTTTTTAAAAATATTTTATAATAGAAATTATATTATATTCTATAAAAATAACGTCATGTTCACGTTTCGTAACTGTTACTACTGCTTATCAAAGTGGCATTTCTTCTCTGGCACAAATATAAATTATAAAAATTATAATTTTAATAATTTATACATACTTTTTATTTGACATAAATTATTATTTTCTAATAAAACATATAGAGATTACTGGAAAAACTTACGTGTCGTTAGCTGGGTATTCATTGAAACTTGACGAATTTGTAAGTTTGCCACTACTGGAAGAAGATTTTTCTATAATTTTACCTCTATTTTTACCTCCTCCTTTCCCTATTTCTTTCCCTCTTTCACTTTCCATTCTACTTTTCGCACTAGAATTTTGAATTAAGTTAACACTGGAGTTCGACGATGAGGTCGGCCGGCCTGAAGCACTGGAAGCTGTCTGTTGCTTCTGCAAATAAATAGATTGCATATATAAATTGAAAAAATATGAATTGCATAAAAATATACGTCTGTATATATTTTTATATTTAAATTTATATTTGAATACACCCTAAAACGTACGCATTATGTAAAAAATTTTTTAATAAACTAAACAATTCGTTTTTCAATAGCGAAATAAAAATTTAGGTTACTAAGGTTAACATAATTATACCTTGTATAATTTAATTTAAATTTATTAATTGCCCTCATAAGTTCTTTCTCTCAAATTCAGCAATTAACGTGCGAGTTTTCTTCTGATTTTTTGGCAGATCATATCTGCCAATTGACTTTGATTGCAATTGTTTGAAAAATAAATTGCATGACTGTGAGAAGATTATAGAAATATGATTAATATTCGTTTTGCGCCAGACTGTGTTCTCATTGCTAATTCATTTAAAATACATAAAATTTAATATTAACATATGTGTTAAAGAACGTTTTTAGACTTGTGCGGATTTTAGTTTGATTTATACAAGAGAGCAATATGAAGTAAGCTATAGTTTACGTTATCGTATTTGCAGTGATCAATTTTAATGATATGAAAATCTAAAAATGGATTATTTCACACAGCACCACTTGGCTCATGCAATAAAAACGATAAAATAAAAAACATTCGTATATTGAGTTTTAGCAAAAGAAAAAAATCACTCTTACATCGTTAGATTTCTTCATCGGTGATTTTTTCGACATCGTGTCGTCTTCTTTCGACGATCGATCGTCAAAGTCGACCATGAAGGCGTCGGATTTCTTCGTAGATTCGTTCGGCGAACCGTTTTGGAGAACGACGCCGTCAACTGTATCGATCGTTCTGGTTACTTTACTCCTGCTCGAATTCGCACCTTTTATTGATCTTCTCGAAGGTTTCGCTTCTTGATTCCTCGATTCTGCACGCTGATTCTGTTTTCATGATTACAATTTAACGAAAAGTTAATCTGTAGACAAATTTAATAGCCTATAACGAAAAGTTGCGTTTTATTGTATATAGATAAGAGACAAAAAAATAATAGGTAGAAGTAAAAATATTTAAATAAATGAAAAAAAGGGAATAGGATGTTATAAGATTACCCTCATTACAAGGCAATCTTTAATGATTTAATTGATTTAATCTTTCGACTATTGAACCCCACTTAATCCTAAAAATCTTTGCCAAACAATTCAGTTTTTTTTACACACACATACACATATCTGCAAAGGATCATTTTTATTAAAATATATTTAATATTCATCCTTTTTTATATGAATTATGTCATTTTGATTTCTTCAAATTAATGAGTATCTTTTAATTAGCATCCGTTAAGTGGGCTTTACAAACCCAGCGTTACAAATTTTGGCATCAGCTTCGGAAGGTTAAGTGATTAATGATTTTTTTAATTGTACTCACCGTAGAGGCAACATCAGGACTTTTTGAGGGGGATGAAGGAGTGCTTCCTCTTGTCGTTCGCGCATTTATTTCGCGCTGTTTTGTCGCAGCTAAATCAGGACTCGGGCTCTTCGTGATCCTGGATACACAGGATTTAATTTTAGTCAGTCTCACGGGATCGGTCCTGTTTTTTGCCGCATCGATTATGGGACTCGATCTCTTCGCATCGACATTCTCTCGCGAGGCCGAACGCTGATTTGCAATCGCTGACCTCGATTCTTTCGTAGTGACTGATTTATTTCGTTCGCTATCGATCAATTTTCGAATATCCTCGATGGACCGCAACGGTTTCACGGAAAACGTAAACGTTTCTTCCGATTCTTTTGCAATGTCGCGATCGAGACTTTTGGAAGACCTTATGTTTGAGACTGTTTCGTCTTTACGAAATCTTATATTTACGAAAGAACAATTCTCATCTTTCCGCGCTTTTGTGCAATTCAATTTTGGCCGTTCTTCTTGAACCTCTTTCTCTGAATCGGATTCAAACAATCGCCGCTTGCACGTTGGTGATTGAATTTTCGTAGATCTCTGTTTGCTTTCAATGGAACTTCCAAATCTTGTTGGTCTCTTAGAGGAACGAGTTTCCTTTTTGAGAATCCTTAAATCACTTTTACGGGCGACATTTTTAGTTTGTAGATTTTTACCAATTGGAGATTTCAGCGTCGATTTTAAAATCGTATGATCCGTTACTTTACGAGAAGGAACTGTCGTTCCTTTCGAATCGATTGATTCTTTAATAACTTTTTTTTGGTCCATCGTTTGCAAGGAGATATCTGGAGATGCCTGGAAGTTCGTCAGACTTGAACATTCAAATTCCGCGCCTATGGAATCAAATCGTCTCAACGCTGATTCCACAGAGTCCATTCTTTCGAGATCTTTTTTATATTTGTCCTTGCATTGAGTTTTAGAAAATTCACTTACGATATTCTTCGATTCTTCGGTTTTACGTTTTACGCTCATTTTATTGAATTCCTCCAATTTGTTCGCGACACTCTCGCGCCTGCGGTCTTCGACAGTGTACGTCGAAAATTTCAACGTGGGGCTTTGATCCGTTTTCGCTATGATATTCTGGGATGAGAAAATCTTCGGAGTGTAGATGCCACGAGAAATTTCAGCTGCTTTCCGTAAAGGTGAGACTCGCGATGAAACCTTAGACTCTAAGTCGTGCCGCCTGACACATTCTCTTGTCGGAGAAATCGTTTTCTTTGAAGTACTCGACTTCATCGGCGTAGTTTCGCGGAGAAAGATCCTTTTGCTTGTAATCCGATCAGCGGAGTTTGAGCGAATAATTTCGCTATAATCTTTGCTTTCTTTAGTCAAAGCAGTTTTGACTACCGTTTGATACTTTACGCCGATACCAGCATCAACTTCATCTACCGATATATTTTTATCTTCACGTCTTTCTTTTCCCCGATTATATTTGTCGTTTGTAGGTAAGTTCCTGGTCTTCACCGCACCCTGCACTAGTCGCGCAGATCGTAAGCTTTGCGGTTGATCAACTTTTGTGCGTGCTCCTTTGGTCCTCCTCTCCGCGAAGTCGTACAAAATCGGCGAGACTGTATCAGGATATTTTCTCATTATAGAAACATCAGGAGATGTTACTTTCGGACTGCCAACTGCTCTACTTTCCGCAGAACGATTCCGCGTGTGAATTGGAGATCGAGAACTCGCGCGATCTTCACGTTTCGTGGATTGAGTCCCACTATATTTAACTTCATTTTTTGTGGATTGTTTTCGCATTTGGGAAGATATTTCATCTATCCTGTCTCGATTTATGATACGCCGAGAACTTCCGCTCGTAGGACTAAAGCCGAGTTTATTCAAGCTGACACTTTTGTTCTCTCGGCCGCTTTGACAATCCATGAATGTTTTTTCAGAGAGGCTTCCCTTCGACTTGAAAACGCTTGATTCTAAAATGGACCCTCTCTCTCTATACGGTTTGCGAACAGGATAGGTGATCGAGGTTTTGAATTTCGCTCCACTATTGAACGATTTCGTGTACGTTCCATCAAATTGTCGCTTCGATATTGGACTTGGCGCTTTTTGCAGTTTGTCGCGTTCAATACGATGATCCGTCATAGTAATCTCTTGAATGTCCATGTCAACTTCCGTCGGAGTGATACTTTTGCGAGAAAATTCTGGCGTAGCTCTTTTCCTACCTTCGATAGACGGTGATCTTGCTGTTTGGAGAGAAGTTTTACATCGATTTTTCGATTGATTACCTCTTGCGGAGATTCGAACATTTGCGTTGCGTTTCGAGGGCGACTGACGAATCGAACGCTGTTTTCCATCTTGAGACTTCATAAATTTACGGACCAAACCTGCCGACTGGAAAATATTATCGAGTTCCAAACCATACTTGAGGTTTACGATCGAGCTGGACGATGTCGCGGAAGTCTCCGAGATTTTCGACGATCTGCGAGTTTCTGTAATATTGTTGAAAACGTCGGTTTTCTCCAAAGCCTTTTTTACTTCGTGTTTAGCAACTGAAGGACTTGAAGTATGTCTATCTTTCGTAAAATTATTCTTTTTATCAATCGGAGATTTTATAGGTCGCCTATAAGAAGTATCTGAACTGCGCTGATTTAATAAACTTTTGGTAGAATTTGATCTTGATCTTGGTTCTATCAACATCGTTGTAGCGGATTTTTCAGACTCTTTACAGAAAAATTGTGGACTCGTGGAGCGTTTGTTGCGCATAATTTCAGACAATTCAAATCCACCGTATTTCCGATCGATACTCGTAGTGATTGCAGATCGTTCCTTGGTCTTTCCGTTTAACCGTCTTGGAGTTGTGCTTCGCTTCAATACTTTTCGATCATATGACGATCTAGGTTCACCAACTTTGCGATTAATGCTCATAGTTGTACCAGATCGTTTGGATTCTCTACAAAAGAACTGCGGACTTGCGCTACGTCTTACGAATATTTTTCTATCGGATGTCAATGACTTGTATCCATTACTTCTCGGATAAATTTTCGAAGCTTCCACCTTTGTAGCTTCTCTCGAAAAGAATCGCGGATTTGTGTTTCGCTTGCTCCACTCGGACGATTTAGATCCGACAGTTTCTCGATCGGTACTCATAGCTGTTTCTGGTCGTTTGGATTCACGACGGAAATACTGTGGACTCGTGCTTTGTCTTGACGAAATTCTTCTGCCATTCCATGCTGGTGATTTAGATTCACTTGTTTTGCGAGATTGTTCAGATTTACTGAGAAAGAATCGCGGACTTTTGCTCCGTTTCATTACTATTTCATGATCATACAGCGACGATTTAGATTCGCTAGTTGCACGATCGATGCTCATAGTCGTGGCGGATTGTTCGGATTCCTTGCAGAAAAATTGCGGGCTGGTGCTTCGCCTTTTTAATATTTTTTCTTCATACAATGGCGATTTAGATAAAGAAGATCGTCGGCCAAGACTCGTACTTGTTTGAACTTCTTTCCGATCAAAATTGGTATCTCGTTTTGTTGACGTTCCCTCGCTCCATTCGGACGATTTGGATCCAACAGTTTCTCGATCGGTACTCATAGCTGTTTCTGATCGTTTGGATTCAGAGAAATATTGCGAATTCGTGCTTTGTTTTGACGAAATTCCTCTGTCACTCCATAAGGATGATTTAGATTCACTCGTTTTGCGAGATTCATTAAGAAAAAATGGACTTCTACTTTGTTTCGTTGACGTTTCTTGATAGAATAATGGTGATCCGGATGAATCGGACTTTCGGTCGATGCTCATAGCCGTGCCAGATCTTTTGGATTCTCTACAAAAAAACTGCGGGCTCACGCTACGTCTTATGAATATTTTTCCATCAGACGTCAATGACATGTACTCATTACGCCTGGGATAAATTCTCGAAGTGTCTTCCGCCTTTGCAGCTTCTCTTGTTAAGAAGCTTCGCGGACTCGTGCGTTGACCCAGTGTCTCAGTACCCGAACTTTCCCGTCGTCTCGAGCTCGTTTCGTCAACTGTGCGAGTTCTAGTCGGCAGGGGACTGTTTGTATTTTCGAGAATCCTTTGACTGCTCTCTGAGGTCAGGCTACTTCTCGTGCTGGTTGGGGAAGTTCCGGCGACCTCGCTCCATACTCTAAGAACGCACATGTTCGAGAAAGCAAATGTAGAACGACTTTGAAGCGGAATCGCTAAAAGTGAGGCGTGCTTTTTCTTACAGCAATCGTCCTTATTTTTGGCCCAGCGCCCAAGCTAATTAGCGCTAGTTGTTGTTTTTGTTTGTAGTGGACGTTGCGCTAGTTATAGTTTTCTCTCAGCCCGGTGTTAAATCTGCCCCGCGTGAATTGCGGTTAAATGCGACGCGTACGATGATAATTAAGCTTGGATGGTTTTGCACGTTTCCTCGGATCGGAACAGAGGCACTTGTTCACTCGTTTCCGTACTTAGATTAATCAAATTAATTATTCTTCTCCGAATGCTCGTTTATGCAATACGATTCTGCCAAATTAGTTATCCACCGTCTGTCCTTTTTTTTAATATTCGCTCTAGTTTAGGGCGATAAGGCGGGGGTTAGATAAACATATATTAGAACAAAAACGATCATGTGATATTATATGCTCTTCCTTAGATCTCTTTTTTTCTTTTGAACTCTTTGCGAGCACGTTGTTAGCGCAATATATTTGTAATAGTCGAGGATAGCGATTGCAACTACGTGGCATGTAAATTAATTCTGGCAAGCAGCGGCGATTTGTTAGCGATTGTCGATGATCGAGATTCACAATTATTTATACAGCTACGTAAATCATAGATGTAGATCTATATTTTTACATTTCACTTTTACCGATAAATACGCTCATTTATCTTATAATTTATGTTGCAAGGCATCTGTAAAGGTCGATGCTAAACTTACACAATATATTAATGAGATTAAATAGATATTTAAAGATTTAAGAGTAGAATGCATTTATTGGTATTTTTAGTATAGTAGAAAGAGTTCAACAGTCACTAATTTGATAAATTGAAGTCTGCATTCTTTTAGAAGGAAGAATGCAGACTTTCGTTCATAGAACTAATAATTGTTGAATTTTCAAATACTTTTATTGTACTAGAAATAATAGTAAAAGCATTCTGCTTGTAAATCTTTAAAGGTTTATAACATTTAATATGAATATTTTTACCTACTTGACCTTATTAGTTATTGACACATTGTAGAAGTTTGGTATCGACCTTTGCGGACAGTGTATCATTATAGAAACTCAAAAATAAATGCACACATTTATCAATGAAAGTAAAGTATGAATACGGGCGCTTTAATTTTTAATTTCAGGGATGTCATAACACATTAAAGTGATCTCTTTAAAATTAGATTATTTCACTTCTTCACTTACTAATTTCAGTTTCAATAATAATATGAGAAACGTTCTTACCTGGAATTGGATTTTGTCGGAATTACTTGTTCCGATCGCTTTCTTATCACCGTATTATTCGAAGTCGCCTGTTTCAGCATGTTACTTCTCTTCGCGTTCGCGTTCTTGAATCGTTCGAGTCGCTCTTCCGCTTGAGACAATTTCTTCGTAACGTTCCTCTTCGAGAGCTTGTCGGGCACATCCACCATGAGGTATTCCGGAAACTCCTCGCTCTCCAAATCGTTCCTCACCCGATGCTTCAGAGTCTCGTCGAACCCCATTAGATGAATCTTCGCCATCATACGATTTCTCTCTACCGTCTCCTGATCCAACGCTTCTTCTTGCTGCATACAAAATATTAACGCACAGATAATAAAAAAGTAACAATATTCCCGAAACGTGCTCAGCAGAGTAACTGCTGCTTTGAATAAAATTATATACTCAAGGGAATACTCTCTTTCCCAACTCTTTTAATTTTAATTTTGTGATTTTAGATATACACTGAGAAAACTGTCCGATCGAATTAATTAGAATTCTAATTGAAAATGGACGAATCAGAATTTTCTGATTAAATCTATTAGAATTCTAGTTGAGATAAGAACTTCTTTCCTAAAAGATTTCAGGAAAATTGTTCTATGTAGGACGTAACGTCAAATTAAAGATCAAGCAAAGTATTGAAATTTCACGCGCAACCAACCTCATTATCAGCTTCGTGACGATAATGTCCATTGGCGAACGTAGCGATGCGATTCTCGACGCCGTACTCGTCCTCGTCATCGTGGCGACGTATGGACGGGCCAAACGACTCGCGAGTGATCTCTTCATGGTAAGAAACAACAGGCTTGCCGCCGTTAACGTTGCTGTTAACGTCCGCGCGCGACACGCGTTTCACGGACTGTCGATTCACCGTCACATTATCATTCCTCTGCGACGCCACGCCGTTTGTATTCCCTTGCTTTCGCAGCTTATTTTCAAGCGGTTCCAGCGGGTAGCTCCTGTCGATCCCCTTCACGGTAGTCTGCCGTCTCTCGTCGAACATTTGCCTCACCTGTACGACAATTAAAGCTCGAACAAGATTTCAAACGAGAAATTATACTCGAGATAGTCTAAATTTGCCATTTAAAATCCCATTTCTTCGCGAAAAAGGTGGCATTTATATTTCTAAAATCACTTCCAGAAATAAATCAACGCGCAACAAAGCAAATGATTTATAGTACAAGTGGTAAACTGTCGACTTGCTGGCTTTTTCGCTTACCTTACCACCTTGCGAGGTCGAGGTCGTATGGGACGACGCCGTCGTTGTCGTTGACGCGGTTCTGATCGGGCCGGAACCGTTGGAACCGGCGCTACTTCGCTGTACGACCTGGTAGGCTCTCTGCTGTTGCTGGTCGTACAGCTGCAGCAGCTTCTGCTCCTTCTCCTGCAGCTGTTTCTGCTGGAAGCGAGCCTGTGTCACGGAATAATTCGCTTTGAGCATCGGCGTGTCACCGCGCAGAAATGCGGGCCGACGTTGCCCGCGGTTGGAACGTCGGCTCGCATGCGAGAGGTGCATGGTATCGCGGCAAGCTCTACTGCAAGCTAGAGGAACGACGATGCACATACAGGCACCGGCGCTGCCTCATCGATTCACCTTTAACCTACATGCGAGGGGGGTTAGTAAACTCATTATTATGCTAAAGCAGCTCGTTCGTCTCTTAACTCTGCACCGCCCCCGATGCTTTGGCTCTTTTACTCCCAAGGTATATTATTAAAGGTACTACTCTTAATTGTAGAGTTGTAAACTCGCACAATTATTATGTAGCCGCGTGTTAAAAAGATAAGGTCCCAATTGCGTTTATAGAACGAGTTGGAAAAAAAAATAGATTCGTGCTGCCATTCGTTCTGTAAATTGGAATTGATTTTTTTTTTTTACAATTGTATTGATTTAATTATAATCGTATATTGGAAAAAGAAAGATTTTTCCGATGGGGAAACTATAGATTCAAAAAATGTGATAATACAGCATTTGAAATGTACGTTTTCATTGAATATTGTGTAAAGAAGTAAATTAAAATGGAACGATATTTCTTCAATATAGAAAGAACGGTTTTGCTTTAGAATCTAACAATTTAGCTAAATACAGAATTAAAAATAGTTTTGTTGTATCAAAATTGCGGCACTCAAATTGATTACTAGTATGTCAAAACTTTTTGCCGCATTGCTAATCATTCTTAAGTTTCTAATTATTTTAATGGTACAACAAAATTATTTTCAGATCTATATATCTACTTAAATTTTTAGATACTTGAGCAAAATCGTTCTTTCCATGAAGGTTTAATAATTTTGTTGTTCTTCCAATAAAAAAAATTATGTTTTTATGACATAACGGCCTAAAATATATTTGTAACGATTGAAATTTTGTATAACCGTTTTGGAAATGATAGAGCAAGGATCAACTGCGGTTTAATAATCAGCACCTCCTAATTGCATATCCCCTCGATGATTGCATCGGCAATCAGCCGCGCCACTAATTGATTCATTCCTAATGAACCCGCCATATTGGACACTTTGCCTCTGTATACCATGCAGTTACAAGCGTAAACTCGTAAATTCAGCGCAAAGATCATTGATAATAATAATAATGTATTAATTGAATTTATACTCGTAATTTTATAACTGGCAAATATGTTAAATTTTAGATGTAACTACATACAAACTGCGTTAAGGTGATATATTGAATTCTAGACAACCATCTTACAACATGTATATTTATTTAATGTTAGATTAATTCAGTGTTGCAAAGCAAAAATACTTTCTAGGTGTAGGAAATAAATTCCTTAACCACAGGGAGTTAAATTATATGCATTATTGACTGTATAATAGGATTATCATTATTTCTTTGACCCGATAAACACCTGTAATGTGTCGCATTTGTAAATGGTAATTCACACTCGCGAGATTATAACGATATGAATAGTAAACATGATAGCAATATTTTCATTGTATTCTAGTTAAATATAATTTAATAACGATTCAATCTGTTAATAACTGATTGCTAACAAAGAAATGACAAAAAAGATAAAAGTAAATAAAAAGACTTAAATGGCTGGGTTAATTGCTTAAAAATAGATAATATGCAAATTACGCTTCAGAACTGCGCTCGTTCTGTACGATAGAAGCGTACGCGAGTGGTTTTTAGGAAGGATCGTGAATTGGGTGTCGATTTAAATCGCCTGGGCGCACGCGGACTATTTCATGAAGTCGACGACTCCGACATACATGACCGTATATAGAATAAGTGATGTTCCCGTTTCTCCCGCGTATCTCCCGCTTCGCAGTTTCTCCTTTTCCAACTTCAGGATACTGTCTTACGAAATGCATGACGTTGACCCGCTTTAATGATACGATCACCTACTTGCGTTATCTCTCCGTCTTAAAACATGCTCATTAAATAATAATTTTATTATTGATACGGTGACCTTGATTTAAAAAAAAATTTATGGCTCATTCATTAAAGACACAATTTGAAAAATTAAGAGAAACTAATAAATTTTGGACTGCGATTATTTTTGTGTTTCTCGGATCTTATCGTATCTTGTGACATATTTCTTTCATTTTCAAAATTTGTATTGAGCTTTTGAAATCACTATACCATAGTCTCCAAATTAGGAAGATCCCATGATGTTTTCATGTCCATAGAGACTCCGCGAGTGCCCAGCTGTTGCGACCGGATGTGCATTTCTCTTTGGGTCCTCAATTCTTCCGAATGTCGTCAGTCTTGTGTTTATTTTGAGAGATCCTCATACAAACTCTTCCACATTGACAACTCAGGCACGATTTCATTCAATTACGAATCATTTATCTTAATTTTTTCAAGCAGTTCATAGATTCACTGTTTTATAGAGTTTGTTGGTTTGCAATTCACATTTTTAATTTACTTTTGATTAAGCATGTCTTCTAAACCTTATAGAAAAATTTAGAAATGTAAAAACTAACGGTTCGTGCATGCATGGCATGTGCTATTTTAGGTCTAATATAGAATTTGTAAAAAAAAATATATGAAAAGAAACTTTTTGCTAAAGTAGTCACACAGGCCTACTTGTACTGACGATAAATAGAGGTTGCAATATGAGACGATATGTCAAGTTCACAATTTCTTCTTCTCCAACTTCACGAAAGAAAGAACTTACGTGTTTGAAGCAACTTTCAACGTTATCAAGGTTGCCGATATCTTAAAAAATTCGCGTGCGATGGAAATACCTTCCCGATGTTATCTTCAAAACGCCTTTATGTAAGTAACTTTCTCTTATCGTGGCATGTTAACATCTTCTGCACTTAATAGATATATTTTAAATTATTTCATTCATACTTGTGCAGCAGATGCATACCTACGCTGTCAAGCAATGTATCTACTCCGTGAGTTAAATCCAAATTTAACTTTTTGAATGTGACGACGTGAATCTATGATTTATTATCGTAGAAATTTGATAATCTCTGATCTCATTTAAATTTGTTTGAATTATAGGACAGATTAAGTAGAGTAATCTTATTATAAGAATGGATCTTTTTAAATGGATAAAATTTTGCAATAAAAAATAAGGACCAATATAATTTTATTCTATTGAATCCATAATGTCAAATTATACTCAATTGGACTTTTAATACTTTCTGCAAATCGCCTACTGCTCCTACTGAATATATCATTATATTAATTAAATTGTTTAATAATGGAATTAAACAATTTAAGTAAAAAATCTATTATATTTGACTCAAATTTAATTTATCATTTATTAATCTATATATGCTAATATAGACACGTTTTTACAAATTAACAGAAATGGATTGATTTACATTTTGACATCGAAATTAGATAGACTATATATGTACTTTAGAAAACATAACGTCAATTTTATGTTTCAGAATTAGACATTTTCATTTTTAATTAAAATATTCAAGCATGTTTTTGCAGCATTATCATACTGTGATAGTTTATAATTTCCGGGATTTACTGCAATTTGTACTTGTTATATAGTGAATCTATCGAGGGCAATACTTCGTTAAATCGATACGATAGCGATAACGAGTAGGTACACAGAAACAACGTACAAAGTGATTCGATTTCATATTTCGGCATAAGTAATATTTTCGCGAAAGATAATCAGTCGCAGCGTAATGTCGCAGTGCGATACGCGTATCGTTCCCCATGTAAAATCGCGATCTAACACTCATGCAAATTTACACGCGCAAAACACGACAGCATACGCGTTCAATGTCAACACCAACCGGTGAAACGCGTGTATGATACCACCGCGAGCACGCGCGAACGCAGTCGAACGTTTTCATAAACGATCGCGTGGTTAATCGCGAAATGATTAATTTCGCGAAAGTTACGAAATATGGATTAGCCGGGGATGAATAGTTTAATAATCAGTACAAATGCGCACGTTGCAACGCCGATAGGACTGCGGCACTGTAAGTGTTACCATCACAACTGTGTTGTTCCAAACTACTAGTGTGCTGACATCGCGAAGCACAGGGCGCATGTCCGTCTAACGTAAGCTATCCACCCTTACGACAGTGGATGATAGCCACCACTACCGTTGGGCGGACGCGATCGAAAAGGCACCCATGTACACATGACCGAGTCCCAAGTGTCGATTTACATCGATTCACTTTAATAGTTTAACATTTCTTTCCGCTCCTACCTGGAGCGGCCGGTGACGTAATCGAGAAAAGAGCTAGACGTACAGAATCTCCAATATACAAGCGCGCGGATTTATGTATAGGATTTATGTACAGGATACAAGTTGCGTAAAACGTGACGTATTGCATGCTCTAGTGCGATACTAAAACGCTTTTAAGGAAAAACTTAAATGATATTTTAATAATACATTTACGACAGCGATTTAGACGAAATAACGCGACGTGACGTCGACAGATTTTTAAACGAGAAAAATTAGATATAATAAATATATCTAATTTAAAACATATTGCCACATCTTTATAATTTTGTATTATAATGTTTTCAAATTTCTTGTTTAAATTATTTCAACATTTAATACTAAATTGAAACAACTCTATCTTTCTCTCTTTTCTTTTTAAAAAATAATACATTAAGATATATTATATATTGTAATTATACAGATATATAAAATATTTTTTTTAAATAATATAGTTATTACACTAAGAAAAATGTTTTGTTGTATGAATCAAAATTTTGCTGTAACAATGAATATTTATAAAGATGTATTGAACGAGAATGTTATACTAATAAAACTGTTTAGTTGACGTAAATGAATACTTTTGAGTTCAGCTGGAAAATATTAAGCAAAAAAAAAAAAAAACTGAATTTTTTGTTATAAAAACAAAGTGTTTGATTGCTGTTAAAAATGTTTTAATTTTGTTTAAAGTACTAAATTTTTTTTCCTAGTAATAATAAAGTTAGTTCGTCACGGAATATTACAGTCT